ATGAGGAATGCCGCCATGATGGATTTTTTCATGGTATGTTTGAATAATAATTTCTGTTATTCGATTATGTCTCGGGAGATATGTTAAATATGAGATACAACTACCACTACTTGGAAATTGCAATCGGCTTTTAAACCTCCATAATCCCGTTACATAATACAAGTTGCGCTTCTTTATTTCCTCTACTGATAGTCCTTCTGATTGAGCTTGTCTGAGTAACAATTCAACAGCAAATTCATATTCATATGGGTTGATTTGAGTTCCCTGTGACATATTGCTTAATAACCGGGGAAATTTATCTTTGGATATTAGTTTAAGAAATTTCAAAGCTCTTACGGTAGTTCGGACCATTCGTGACCAATTGCTGAATTGAACCGATTCGCATCGACAAATCTGATTGATGTTTTGGTAATAGTTTCTTGAATCGCTGTAACAACTACTTGTTCTCCTTCTTCGTCTATGGTTTCTTCGTTATCGCTTTCTTGTTTGATATCATATTCCCAATGGGGCCAGTTTGATTCTTCCTCCTTTAGCCATTCGGGCCCATTCCACCAAAGTGTGAAATTTGCCAGATCGCTTGGTGATATTCCTTTCGTAGCTATGTCTGCTGGATTACACTCACTTGGAATATATCGATACGCAAATTTGGCTTTTCGTATCTTTTCGACTCGATTTTGGATGAATCTTGGTAAGAGTCGAGAATGGTTTTGTATCCAGTGCAATGCGCACCGTGAATCTGACCATAAAATCACCTGTGCATTTTCAAATTCCAATTGTTTGATAACAAATTGAGCTGCTCTTACTCCAATTAAGATTGCTAATAGTTCGAGTTTCGGTATCGTCATCGTTTTGATTGGGGCTACTCTTGACTTGGCAAAAACCGAGGACGTTGTCGGACTCTGCTTCACATAAACTGCCACTGCATATGCTTTAATGGACGCGTCAGTGAACACGTGGATACTTGTATATTGAAATATGTTGATAACAGCGCGTGGTATCTCCTTTACGTATGTTGGCCATAGAGTTATAAGGGAATTCCACGTTTGGCTTTCATGCTCGTTTAGTGGTTGATCCCATGGTAATTTCTTTTTCCAGAGATCTTGAAGAAATAGTTTGAAGGATATCATTGTTGGAACTAAGAAACCTAATGGATCGAAATGAGAAGCTATAAACTGTAGAATTGTTCTTTTAGTTAGTTTCTTATCAGTCCATGGTTTTAATATTATCTCTATGACATCGTTGTGTGGATTCCAACTAATGCCAAGAATTTTTTTGACTCGGCTTACCTCTGCAAGATCGTAACTGGGTAATTGAGTATTGAAACTTTTATCGTTCGAGAAGAATTCTCTTATATTCATCGAGGCCTCACTGAAGATTGATTTCACTTCTTCATATTTTTTCAGAGCATCCTCTGTCCCTTCAATCGGTATTATGATATTATCAACATATAGGTTTTTTCTGATTTCAAGGCGGTTTTGCTGTGGTGGTTTTCTAAATGATAATTGAGCATGGCCGACAGCAAAAAGACGATATTATTCCAAATGGTACTCTTTGAAATCGGTAACATATCAGGTTATCCTTTGTAGGTGGTTTTTCGACATCCTTTACCCATAGAAATCTTGTGCAATTCCTTTCCGTTGGTAACAACTCCAATTGTAAAAAGGCCTTTTCAATATCGGCAATCAACACATTTTTCATTGCGCGAAAACGAAGTAAAACACCAGCTAGGTCGGGGAGTGTGATCGGTCCTCTGTACAGGACATCGTTCAGACTTTTCATTCCTTTGAGGTGTGCTGAGGCATCATAGACGATTCTCAGTTTCGTTGTAGATTTGTTTGGAGTTACGACTTCATGATGTGGTAGATAATGGATAATACCATCTTGATTTGTTTCGTTATTTACTTCTTCGATGATGTTAGATTGTAATTGTTCATTGATTGTTTCACTGTATTTTCGTAACAAATCTTTGTCATTTTGAAGTCGTCTGATCAATGACTGTAACCTACCTAGACACAAACCAAAATTGTCGTTTAGTTTGAGGTTTGTTTCTTTCCATGGCCATGACACCTGATACCGTCCATTGATTTTCGTAATGCTGTCCTTAAATTGGTTTAAGGCTTGTTCGTTATCTTCGTCATTAGGTTTATCCTGTATTCCGATAACTTCTGATTTCCAGAAGCGGTCTATGTCTGTGCTAATACTATTGACGGATACAGTTGTTGGTGTTCTTTGTGGCCATTCGGATGTTGGCGTAATATCTTTACAGTTTGATATAGTTGTCACTCCAGTGAATTTAGGTGGCTTTGTTGCATCTCCACTGCCAGCTAATATCGGAACAACCTTAGTATTTATCAAGAAAAATCCTGATCTTGGTATAACTTGGTATTGTTTAAATGGGATGAACTGAGAGAAGTAGTCAGCTCCGATAAGTATATCGGGGCGTTCTACGCATCTTAAACTTCTGTCTAATTGAATTTGATTCATTCGAGATACTTGGTATGTCCAGTTGGTCTAATGGAATTACCGGCAGTGAGTTGGTTAAATATTCTATCACCTTCACTTTGAGGGATATGGTCTGGGAGTCAGTGGTTTTTACTCCAATAACCGTTGTATAGTACGGAGATGAAGTTGAGTATTTGTTGCTGAATGAGGCAATCCTCATGACTCCACTTTCATCAACCTCTAATTTCAATTTTTGCGCCAATTTTTTTGATACAAACGATGTTTGCGCACCAGTATCGAAGAGTACTATAGCTTCGCTTCGAATCTCCTGATAAATTGGATTGATAACATTGACTTTTCTGCATAGGTAAAGTAAATAAGTATAGGTAAATAGATAAGTAAAACTTCTTTTTCCCTTTGATCCATTTGGTTTTTGTTTGTAATATTGACGTTCACGGACTTGGATTCTTTTTTATTTGATTCGTCATGCCCTTGATATTTCTCTTCGCATAGTGCTGTGTTGTGAGGGCCTTTGCAGTAAAAACAGGAACGTTTTCTGCTTTTACAATCCGTCGTCTTGTGACTATTATCAAAACAGTTCAAACAGGCCTTTAATTCCTTCAAACGTTTCGTCCTTTGTTTTACTGTTGAGTAAACCTGACACTCATTATCCCAATGATCTTTATTACAAAATGTGCAGGGTCTTTTTGTTTTAATCCCTTTCGCCTTTGATTTGGGAATTGACACCGATAATGCTGAAGTTTCATTAGGGATAAATCGTGAAAATGGTTTTGACTTACTCTTTACTGGTTCTTGATTTTTTGTCATATTCAGGGATTGGATCCTCATTACTTCTTCACTTCTGAGCACTAGTTTCCCGAGAAATTGTCTCAGCTTATTTACTGACCATGATTCCTGTTCCTTTTGTTGATAAATCCTTTCAAGAATCCATGCTGGTAGTCTACTTTCAACTATTATTTCAATACTTAACTGCTCCAGGTTCTCGCCCATGGCTTCCAGCTGTCGCAATATTCTTTCGATACTTTCAATTGTCACTCTCCATTCCCGATCATTCTTTTTGGTCGAGTACAGTTCATTATAGAGTGACCTCTTGATTATATATGATTGACCAAATTTTTCGACAAAAACCGTTCTGATAACATTGTAATTTTCTGGGGTTATATCATATCCCCTTACAGCTTGTAAGGCATCACCTTTCAAACAAGCAATAAGATAATTTAATTTTTGGATATCTGGGATGTTTTGGAGGTGTATTGCAGCATCAAAGCTACTCCAAAATCCTCTCCATAACTTTGGGTTACCGTCAAATATTGGTAACGGTAACTGGGGCAAATTCACTGTTGTGTGATTTGCTGATAATATCGTTTCGTCAGTACTCCTTTGTCGAGTCAGTACTCCTTTTTCAGTGCTTTTTTCTAAGCGTTGGAGTATTAACTCTGAATCCTTTTCATACATTTTAAGAGTGATTATTAGATCTTTACTATCACTAATTAATCTTAAAATACCTGTTTCATCGTCCACCATTTGTGCGTATTTTTCTTCTTCCTCTCTCCTTTTTTGCGGTGAGGAAATTTGTTGAATATACTGCTTCCACTCTTTATTGGTCGTTTCGAGAGATTCCAGATATGATTCGAGGCGCATCATTTTCTCGTTGATAATTCGTTTTCTTGTTTCGTGTTGCTCTTGGATTTCTTCTGGAGTCATCATTGGATCCATTTTCTCCAAATCCATTTTTTTTTTTCTTCCAGAAGGCTTAATACCTTTTCTTTCACCGGTTGAACAGCTTTAACTATTATAGCTGACATTCCCGGCTCGTGGCACCACAACAATATGATAATTTTTTATTTTTATCGAATATAGGGACAATGGTTTAGGTAAAACGTGAGTTTAAAAAAAACCATTTATATTGCAAAAAAAAGGGAAACCCACTCCCACACAGCGTTTTAAAGGAAGAAGCAAGCCAAAAATGACCTTTTGATTTTTATAAGCAATGATTCATAGTTTCGAGAAAATTCTCGACAGAGTGAAGGATATTAAAGAGTTATCCATCTTTGACAACACTTGTCTAAGACATTCTGCCTGGCCGCTGAGCAGATGAATCTCATATTGTATCATGTCCAGGAAACTCAGCGATATATTGACCCAGACGAAAAAAATTTAAGCTCAGACACGGCATCAGATCATGAAACTTGGA